AAGCCACTGTCTCGCTCAGGTACTGAACCCCTCGCCAGGACGCCTGTCCGGCCGAGCATCATTCAACTGTCCCTGGAGACACCTCACTTTCAGAGCCGCCAATTGCGCTGAATGTTCCGCCTACTGCTCCCCTCGGTGCCCGACCACATGATGAAGATGCTTTCCGTACCACCTCCATGACCGCCATCAGTGCCTTCAGATACAGACACAGCTCTTTAAAGAACAAGGCGTCCCTGTCCGAGTCTGTTCCGGCGAGGCCATTGCGACGCTCCTCTCTTAAAACAAGCGCGCCTGAGCGCCTCCGGACCACGTCATGTAAATGATCTGTAAATGGTCATTGCGCGGCTATGAACGTGTATAGTGTGGGTAACGCCCGAGTGGCTGCGTAATGCACTCTGTTACCGGAGCCCTCCATCGCTAATCGCGACACAGGGTCAAAGCGCAAGTAGGCGTGTTCGAGCGTTTCTGTTGTCGAGCGATGTTAACTGGTAGGTGGGGGAGAATGTGGTGATTTTGTGATATCGTTGCTGACATTCATGGTTCGCATTTGCTTTCAGACGCCCTCTGTCAAGTAAGCCTCGACTGAGCTAAATAAAACATCGGATAGTAAAGGGCATTTTTACACTTCGACTACACCGACATTGGTGATAAAGAGCTAATATCAATAGGCAAAGTTACCTGCCAGCTATTCACAGTCAAATGCTATTTTTTACAGACAAATTCTCTTATCACACATACGCGGGCTTTGTTTTGGGCATGACCAAATATTTTGAGCACATTCGATATCAAATATTGATGGTTGGTAGTGGAGGTTAGTGGGTTGCTAGGAAGTCATGGAAGAGTGCCAGCAGTAAGATGGTGTAGTATGATACACATGAAAATTGCAGTAAACTTACATTATCAAATCAACACCTTTCCAGAAAGTCAACAGTACGGCAGCCCGCCAGGCCATGGACACCCCACCTTACGCACCGTTCTGTTCAAAATATGTACTCGAGACATCGAACAGGCCGGACATGGGCACCTTTTGCCTTGACGTATCTCTGATGAACTTCTGGCTTAGTCAAAAGACGCGTTCGCATCTGGCGCCTGTGGTTCTTTTCTTGAAGAACCTAAACAATGTTTAACGCACTCTATAACGGTGCTGGTAACCGTGGTGGAGCATTTATTTATCACCGGCAGCTGCATCATTTTGACGACGAAAGCAAACGTAGCCAAATGCTACCTAATGCTAATATCTGTTTTGAGAAACTGGCTACAAGTTGGAGTTTGGCTCCAATCCACAAAAGTACGGAATATACGTGACGGAAAAGAACCAAATGCAGGCTTTGCAGGTGTTTATTGCTGACTGTTGTGAAGGAAAAGCACAACCAGCTCGTCTATTTCCAACAATTCCTTCGAGACCAATAACCTCATTTCTTATGTGAAAACCTTACGATCAGCCCTGACAGCGATCCGTTCCTGCAGTAACTGATCCCTAGCCTTATCAAAGTTTGGGGAGGGGGGGGGGGGGGCACGCCCCCCAGTCCAAAACTTGGGGAGGGCAAGCGTCCCCCTTGACCCTCCCCTCTGTTCCCGCGCCTATGGATGAGCGCAGTCAGTTTGCTACGCAGCGTTTGAAAGCGTCGTGCCGTTCGAGACAGATGGGCTCGAGTGCTCGCCACGCGGTGGTGCATTGGCTTCAGTACAATGCTGCAGGCTGATGTTGGTGTGTTCATGTCGTGAGAAGCTGACTGGCAAGTATCATCAGTTTTGTTTTTTTAAGGTAACAGCGTTGAAAAGCCCTGCCGATCTAAGGTTGTTGGTTGTGGATACTTGAGCTGTAGCTTCAGAAGTAAATGGAGGACGTTGGAGCGACATGTATCAAGGATTCATCCGGAGCTTCCTGCTGCTGAGAGGAACAGCGGCTTTGAGGTGGGAGATCGAGCATCTCTGGTGAAGGCCTCGTACATTGCACGTTGCGCCTCAGACTTTGCGTACTGATTGGTGGACAGGTGCGAGATAAAACGATTTTAATTGTGATCGTATTGCATGTAAAGCTAAATGAGTGTGCCAGAGGTGTTCAAAACGTCGTTTGCAGTTGTTGATAATAATATTGCATGGGTTTTGCTTTAAATAATTAGGATTATGTTGGAAAGTGCGAGCTCTGTACCAGCAATAATTATGCGAAGATAGCGAGGGTTGCCAACACTTCCAGCCAATTACGCGATGACGTCACGAAACCAAAAGTGATATTGTTTTGTCGTGCCTGTAGAGCCATGTTGAAATGTAGGGCTACAGCGAAGGATGTAGTTTTGCGAATTACGCGGGGGTTAGGGAGAAAGCAGGGGGGAGGAGGGTCAGAAAGAAAAAATGGCCGAGCCTGCTTACGAAATGCACTTAAAACCGTTTTCCCCTCAGATTTGACGCAATTTCTTTTCACAGTTAGAAATTATGATCTATGAAAAACGATGGATAAAGATGATAACTTAACATATGAAACTACATCTCCGGTTGGGAGGCACACTTCCCCTCCCTCCCCCCGCACGAACCGAATAGGAAACTACACGCTTCTAGGCTGATTATGTCAAGCGTGCGTTTATTTGATAATTTTAGTAGTTAGTCTCAATCATCATAGGCATTTGATGGCCGGCAAATAATACTTTACTTACTGCAAATGAGCTTCCGAAACAAAACAAAAAAGCGTTTGATGTGTCATGCCGCATTGTACTTAACTTGTCTTTATTTTCCGTAGTTTATCAAATTTAGTTATATTGCAGCGGTTTCTGAAAGATGGTCACAATTTAGCTACTCGCAGATGACAATTTCGACGGTTGCAGATTCCATCGGTGACAGAAAAAGCTCCTTTTCACCCTTGCGTTTGGACATGACCAGTCGGCGTAAAGTGTGGCGGACAGCTGCGCTTACTTAATTGCAAGCGCGAGATATTCACTGTGATCTGGTTAAGTCTGGCTGGCATCCCGCGCCGTAATGAAATTGGCCTTTTGGATATAAGGAATCTCGTAGGTACTTTCAATGGTACTAATTTGTGCCTATCGTCGATACGATGTCATCTCACATACGGGCGCAGGCAGGGTGGAGCAGGCACAAGACGCATATGGTCCCTGCGGTTCCTCGGGATCCAGGGGACCCCTCGGGATCGACGACCAAAGGGCCGATTGGAGGGCTCGAAGGGCTGAGGAGCTGGCCAGGGGTTGCTCTAAGGACCTCCAGTCTGCAGGGCCGGGCCATTGGATGTCAGTTAAAAGGCCTCTGGCGATGATTAGGCATAAGTCGGAAACACTGTACCCGCACCCCCGAAGTGGAAGCCGAACACATTTCCACCCCAGCTACTACCCCCCCCCCCCCTCCCCCTCCCCCGTTCAAGTGTGCGATCTAATACGTACTGACGCCGAACGGGAGTGAAGCGGGCAGGGAGACAGGAAAATTAGAACGGCTTTCAGAGCTACAATCCAACGCCTTATAGTTGTGATGGCAGGGTGGTTCGCTCCCAAAGAGATGGTCATTTTACTTGTACCAACGCACAAAGTCTTCGGTCAGCGTCTTTGCAGCCTTGCATTGTACCATGCGCTATTGGGCGGGCCTGTTGCGTTGCTATCGGGCCCAAAAAACGCATCAGGAGACAAATTGCATCCTAAATTTCCCAAAATACTCAACAATTTAAAAATGGCCAGCAAATTGCGTCTGCTCGGCGCCAAAGCGCTAACGTTTGCGCAGACCAGCGTGTGAGGCCGGCGCGAAGACGGCCATGTATATTGCACAAAAAATAAATAAGATAAAAATAAAAATAACGAAAGTTGTTACGTGCGTTTGCGAGGAACATTATGCATATAGAGAAGACAGTTCTAAAACGCTCACTCCTCGTAGAATAGCCAGGAGAATGGCGAGATAGATGGACTGGTATTTCGGCTGCATGTCTATTGAAACGAATATCAGCACTAAATTCTTTCGTAAGCTAAAAATCTTGGTTGTTTTTATTGCAATACACATATCCGTCTTCGCGTTTATCATCGTAAACAACCGAATTAATGATTGATATTTGTTTTGATAAAGGCTCATAATCGAAATACAAATTCACCCATCTCTCTATTCTCCTGGTTATTCTACGAGGAACAAGGCTATTAGTGCTGTCTTATCTATACGAAAACTAAATAAGTTAAAAGCCAAGTTGACATCAAATGATGTCTTATTACATCACAGCGTTCAGAATCTCATTTCTCGCCCACCTCTGAGAGCACGCGATGTAGCGTTTCTCCGGTCCTGCTGCCGTTCTCAGCCCCGCGGCTAAACTGCAGTGATGCCGCCACGGACCGCTCATCGGCATAAGGTTTAGTGCCGGCGGGGTACCTGCTTCCAACTGAGCAGGCCACGCCGCAGCTTGACAGCCCACCCCTCCCGGGCCCCAGCTGGAGCCCAGTGGGTCCACGTCAGCTTGGCACGCCGGGTGACCCCGTCGTATGAGGGACGGGGCGCGATAACCCCGATCGGCTGATGGCGTTCACCACAAGGAGCTCGCTGCACTCAGTACCGGGACGGCCGACAGGGAGTTGCTCCGCTCCAGTACTGTTTGAAGATGGTGCCACAATAGCTGGCACACGCAGCGTCTCCGATGCGCAGACCGGTGCGTGAAAGATAAGTATAGGTGAGCGAACATGATTTGTAATAAATGGTAAGACGTAATGTAAGCATGTTATACTACGTGAGTGTATGTATCATGCGAACCGTGATATTTCATATCTAGAATGTGCGCGCATTTGAATAACCCACTCCTTCCATTTAAAATGCACACCAAGAGCTCCCAGTCAACATTTCAGTACCAAATCGCACGAGGTGGTCGGAAATGCCGCGCTCCGAGACCAGCTCACCGCGCTCAACTGAACGACGATCGCTATGCTTACGATCACTATACACTATACGGTCTGCAAAATCTGTCAATGTAGCGTCAAAAAGTGCAGCGCTGCCTAATGTGAATCGTCGGCTTTTCGCAAACAACAGAAAAATTCTCTGGCGATGAGATGTGTATTGTCACCAAAAAAAGCCGGCCCCAACACGTCCTCTGTACAGCTTCTCGCAGGGCGCTTAGGCCTGCTTGCGGTCATTTCCTTTACACCATTTCCAACGTCACTTTACTTTTTTCATCTTTCCTATGCCCTTGATCTTTTTCTTTGAATACATTTTGGCAGGAGAGACTTTCTCGTTCTTGACTGGCGTCAAAGACTTTCCTTTCTTCGCATGTCCGCCGCGCTGGGCTCTCGCTGTGACCGGACCGGTCTTCTGTGCACGCGCACCTTTCTCGCGCAACCCGCGCCTTGCGTCGGTAGTCACCTGGCCCTGCTTTGCCATAACGCCTGATGCCTTCTTGGCGTGGCCGGCGCGGCTCTTCTGACCACCGCCAGGCCTCCCGCCGGCCTCGCCCTGGAGCGCGGCCGGGCCGGGCGCGGCGCCCGCCTTCTCGGAGGCCAGTTGATCGAGGAACTGTCGCTCCCGCGCCGCCAGCTCCAGATCCTCCTCGTCCGACGAGTCAGGCTCGGCCGCCGGCGCCACCGCCTCCGCCGGCGCCGGGGACTTCTTGGCCGGCGGTGGCTGTTTCTTAGCTCGCTTGCGGCTGCGGCGGCCGGCGGAGTTTTCCTCCTCCTCGTCTGTCAGCTCCTCATCTGCAGTAGAGCACGCAGCGATCGTAAGTGACGTAACGCTCGCGAGTGCCGCTACAGGGGCGCCGCCGGGCAGCGCAGCGCCGCAAAATGAACTTTATAACTGCTGGAGACATGACATGCCAGACAGCGAAACATACGAAGGGGTCACAATTAGTTGTTTATGGGTGTTCTAGGATACGTCGACTGCGTTCGTCATTGTGCACTCCTGAGCACAGTAAGCGCAGCATTAATATACAGGAAGAGGGGCATCCGATGAGGCTGTGTTATTGCTACAACTAGGCCAGGGACACAAACAGAACGCACGTTTCTCGTACGCACGCATGCCATTACTCGTGGGTCTTCGTGCTGATTGCTACTTTACCGTCGACAACGAAACACTAATTGTCGGCGATTTATGGCAGGTAACAGCGAAAAAGGTCATACGCTACCTCATCAACGGAAGACAGATAAACACGAACACAATGGACATACTGGGGCTCACAAAAAGACAACATTTGCCAGAATCGATGTGGACTGGCCGCCACCACTAACCGTCGCTGAGAGGCCGCCTCTGGACCACCTCGACGTCGCCGAAGCGGTTGACGATGACGTCAGACTGAGCGCGGACAGTGCTCAGCTCGCCGACCACCGGGCTCCGGCCGCTACCCGGCTGACGGCGCGCCGCCGGCACCGGGACCGCGTTCGCCGACACTGCCGGCGCGGCGCGGCACGTTAGCGACACGGCTAGCACCCAGACCGCAGGCGCTAGCTGCGGTGACGACTGTGGCGACGCTGCGGTCGCGCCACCTCCCAGACAGCTGCTGAACTGAGCCGAACTGAGGCGGCCACGGCACGCCGTCCCTGCTGAACTGAGGCGGCCACGGCACGCCGTCCCTGCTGAACTGAGGCGGCCACGACACGCCGGCCCTGCTGAACTGAGGCGGCCACGGCACGCCGTTCCTGCTGAACTGAGGCGGCCACGGCACGCCGTTCCTGCTGAACTGAGGCGGCCACGACACGCCGGCCCTGCTGAACTGAGGCGGCCACGGCACGCCGTTCCTGCTGAACTGAGGCGGCCACGGCACGCCGTTCCTGCTGAACTGAGGCGGCCACGGCACGCCGTTCCTGCTGAACTGAGGCGGCCACGGCACGCCGTCCCTACTGAACTGAGGCGGCCACGGCACGCCGGCCCTGCTGAACTGAGGCGGCCACGGCACGCCGTTCCTGCTGAAGTGAGGCAGCCACGGCACGCCGTCCCTGCTGAACTGAGACGGCCACGGCACGCCGTCCCTGCTGAAGTGAGGCGGCCACGGTACGCCGGCCCCAGCTTCTGCGCAGACCAGCTCCTACGCCAGGCTGGCTCCAGTTTCTGAACAGGCGACGCAGGCACCGGACGCTTATTCGATTCAGTCGAAATCGATCGCTGCTAAGTGGCGAGTCATTTAACAGGGATAAGGAGGACCCGTGGCAATGAGTCATTTAACTGGGATAAGGAGGACCCCGCCGCATGTTAGCGTGACGGGCAGGATGTGACGTGGGATGCGTACTCTGAATCGCGCTGCCAAGAGCGGGGACCCATCGGTGGCAAACGTATTCGCATTAGCGACAGGTGGGGTGGGGGGGGGGAGGGATTTGTAGCCTGCGGTGTGCACCCTGGCTGTTTTGCGCAAGCTTTGCGAAGAGCGTTCTGCTATTGACGGCTGGAAGAATTCCGCAGTAATTACTTCGACCGGCTAAGATGGTATCGCAAAACGCGTGTCCCAATAATGGTGCCCATTTATGGCAGCCGACACAACACCGATCTCGCTGGCCTTTAATGAACGACGTACTGGCGCATAGCTAATGGGGGCAATGGTGATTGGAGGCATAACAGAGCTTATGGGCTTGTAAATCCTAATGGTGTATATCTTAGGAGTCACACAGCCACGGCATGGCTGCCACGCATGTCAATGATATGTTCATTCTGTTCCTCGTCAAGCTACGCAAAAAAAATGGCAATTAAATGATACTACATCAAACCAATATGTCAAGGACATACCGGTAACGGGCCTACGAAGCACCGATTACGAGTCAAGCATGGTATCAGCCAGGGAACCAAACAGCAGCTTGCTGCATTCGGCGACAGGCTCCCAAATATCAGAGAAGCAAAAATTGAATTCCTGCACCCACGCTGAGGCCGCATGGGCGACAAAGGAGAGGGCGCGTCAGCAGTGCATGGCGCGGCACCAAGCCTGCGCTCCGCACGCCCTGCGCCGCAGCTCTGTCGCAAATCAACTCAAGAAAGGGTCAACTTGCCGTTGTTTAGCCAATTAGGCCGGCAAAACACACATGTATGGATTTCGTTGCCAGCTGATGGCTTCATTGAGGTTGGACACGCCACGCGTAACTTTGTAGCTGCATACTGTCGAGTGCATTTTGTATTTTCCCAATTCCTGGCCACATCACAGCACGCCAGAATTCTAAGGCGAAACGCGATGATAAAAAGCGTTCACCCCACTCATACCATTGCTCGACAACACGGAAAGACTGGCTAGTTGCAAACGCGCGGTCAGAAACAATACAAACCCGCCCGACTAGTGTCGATAGCTATGATGACTCCTCCATTAACGCTCACCAAAGGCCATGTTTGGCTCACACCCCGGACGCGTACGCATCGCGCACTTGAATTATTGTAAGCCAGCTGGGCCTGCAGTCTCGGTGGTACCAAAACCGAGAGCGAGCCCTGCAACGGGCGGCCAAAATACGGCCCCTGGGTGAAACGCTCGCCCACGAACAGAACACGAGGTGCGCCCGCACCTTGCCTCGTTCACTCTATTGATTTCTGGGGATGACGCCTCGTGCTGTGCTCTTCCTATCTGCATGCTACAGGAGGCACTGCACCTGGTGGGCCGTGGGACGAAAGACGTGACAGCGGTGACGTCGACGCGTTTATCGTTGGCGTTGAGACGCTGACGTTGGGAAGCTAGGGTGTTGAGCGGAGGGTTGAGATGTCGACGATCAACATGCAGGTGATCGTGAAATATCAGTTTATGACACCATGCCCATGTGCAATTACGAATGAGTCCGCGCCGATTCACGTCTGGAAGGCACGCTTTGCATAACGCATCATTAAACAACCCCTTGCATGAAAAATAAGGCATCGTGCAAGCCTTAGTAAACCCAACACTATTGTATCACAAGGAAGAATGAAGAATTATGTTCGTAGTGCACCTGAAAAGGCGACATCCGCCACTTCCTGTGCGCTTTGTGCAAGGGATTGCAGCAAAGCACACGCCGGTAATGACCTGTCCGAGTCCAAAATGCGACATCCTGTGTTGCCGCATGCAATTTGAAATGTGTGGAACTCACGTCAGAGGCATTTGCGCAGTGCTCCCCTTCCATACAAAAGGTAGTGAGACTGCTCACCACCAGTCTGGCCAGCGGCACTGTAGGATAGTCTTTCTGACTCATATTTAGTGCTTCAGTATCCTTACATATAGCAACGAACAGTGCTGTAAATACGATTGCCTTTCTCTCCTTCAAACGATGTCGTTCGCCCCCCCCCCCCCCCCCCCCCCATCTTAAATCAGTACTAGACACGGCTCGACCACCTGAGCAGCTGTTTAGCATTCAACACACATTACGTTTCCCGACGTTAATTGCACGGACTGGGACTGCCTTTTGTTCGCAGTGCAGTGTTACAGTACATTTTTACCAAACGCCGTAAAACTTCACTAGCAGAATAAGAAGCAATACCCTTCTGGACGCTAAGACATCCATATGCTATCAGAGGTTGCAGTTATATTAGCATCTCGGAGAGTGCGAAGGTGGGGTCTGATCATACAGCTGAAGCCGAAAATTCGCTCCGTTAAAGAAAAGTTATCCCAACATGCAGCCTCCGTTGTAAAAACATGACTTCACTTGATAACCGCACCCTTCCTGAAACATTCGCAAAATCCCCTCAATTCTTACACGCCAATGCCACAGCGCTTTATGAACACGCATTGCCGACTTAAAAACAACATCCACTACGCCCCATTTCCACGTCAGCACTGCACTCTTCAACACTTCCGACGCGACAGCGACCGCTGGTCGACCGCGTCGCGCCTGCTTGCTGCCCCACGCGCCAGGTGGGCGGCCGGTGGCGCCAGCGGACCTCCTCCTCCCGCTCACCGGGGAGCGCGCGTCGCTTCCGGAGCGGCGCCCAAGCCATCGCACGGAGGAGAGGGGGGGGGGGGGCAGACCACGCCACCGCTCTTGGTTTTTTGGATTAGAGCCCTTTCGACCAGAAATGATCATTTCAGGGCTATGAGACGAACGAAAATAGTTAACGGTGGAGCAGACTCGCAAACGCCTGGGGGCCAACCACCCGGCTTTAACCCGCGCATGCGCGTTGGGTACCCGGTCGGGGTCCCCTCCCACGGGGCTCTCGGCCCACTCGTAGCTGACGCATGCAGCCTGCCCCGGACAGGCGGGGCGTCGCGAGGACGCAGGATGAAGCGAGATAGGGGAAAGAGGGACGGATCTCCCATGCAACCGCTCGTCCGGTCGCACCCGGTGCGCCGCTGCCCTAGGACTCCGCACGCGTCGTTCGATCGCACGCCGCTCCCCCTCCCCCTCCCCATGCGGTCGGCGGGCGCGACCGCGGGCGATGCCCTGTCGGCAGGGCCCTGGGCGCCGCTCAGTCCGTGCCCGCAGGCCTCGAGTCGGACCCAGCTGCCCAGAATAGGCCACTCGAAAGGTCAGCCGACAGCTGGCTGCATGGCCCTCCGCAGTGTCGCCGCCGCGTCGGGCCTGCTCCGCACGGGGCGCTGTCGGTTTCGAGGGCGGTGTGGACGGCGACGCGGGTCTGGCACGCGAGACGGTCCGGGCAGTGACCGGACTGCGGCCAGCGAAGCGTGCATCACACATCGCATGACGTCAAAGGAACATACAGCGGCCAGTGGAGGTGACTGATGCGGGGCCAGTGGAGGTGACTGATGCGGGGCCAGTGGAGGTGACTGATGCGGGGCCAGTCACCGGCACACGTCTTTGTCAGCCGAAGCTGAACACAGCAAACATGTATGCCCTACCATTAAAACCGGAAATGAAAATACATTAGGTGCAGCCTTGCCCACAGTTATACAACTGCATGCATTACTGGCGTCAGTAAAGAGCGGATGGAGGCTTGAAAGGAGCCGTTTAAGTATGGGGGCAGTACGCGGCCGCTTCCGCCGTCAAATCCGGCGAGTCCTGTCCGCAGTCGGGGCTTTATGGCGCGTCGATGGCAAATGGTGACGCAGCTGATATTTCTTGTTACCATGCTATGAGGTAAAAAACCTTATTGGGCGCGTCAACTACTTCTCACGCCCGCCAACTGGGCGAGTGTCTGTAAATGACACGTGACCCGATAAACTGCAGCCCTCCCGGTGAGCGCCATGTTCACAAACGCAAACACGGTGGTGTGACGTAAGCAAGTGATTTTCACAATCCAGCCACCAATCTCTCGTCGTGAGTCGTGAAAGCGCAGGTACAAGCCAGATGTCTACACATGGCCCGCAATGGCAATCTGCGCGGCGCACAGTCCCGGTCCGGTGTGGTTTGCGGCCTGTTCACGACGGTGCGGCCCGAGACTCGTGCGGTCACGCAGTGCAGGCGGTCCGCGGGCACTGCGGCCGACGTTGCTGACCGCACTGGACAGAGGTGGAGGACGGCCGGAGGTCGATGAAGACCGCCATCACAGCCGATGTACGTCCGAGCCACGTCAGGCCGTGGCTTGCACTGGCTGTCACCAATCAGCTAAGGTCACGATTCCGTAAAATGGGCGTTTAAGTGGTCTCTCTTATGTATGCCAACCGTGTTCAACGTTTTAAACATGCACTTTCGATTTTAAAAACCATCGAATTCCTTCACTGAAAAGTGGGCACGTTAGCCGACAATAGCAGCAATGGTAGCTAAACAAAATGTATACACTTCTACCATGGGCACCGAACAGCGAAAAACTACCAAGAATTCCTCCGCCGAAAAATGAGCATCCCTGCTCACAGCGGCAGCCAACGTAGCGTGATACAGCTACCACAGCGAGGGGGGGTTTAGGCCCATCTCGGCCACGCCGAGAGAAGACAGACACGACACCCATCCCAATTTTGGGCAGGACCTACGATACGTAATTGAAGATCGCATCACTAAATGAACACGCCATGTGGTTCGGTACATGCACGTAAAAAGCAACTAACGCATACTGCGATAAAGCGCTAACATAAACCCTTTAAATATGAGCGAGCTCCTTCTATACCGCTTCTTGCTCTAATGAGCGTCTACGTTACTCTTTAAACTCTTACCGAAATGCCAGGTCTGAATCTAATGAATGGCGGTGTAATGGTTCAATATGGCCCGGCGACGAATGGCAAAGAAATTGTTGGAGCGTACATCTAATTCCTGTGTCAAAAGCAAATCCGACTGACAAAAGGCGAATTCTGGGCAACCAGCGTGATATGTGGCCGCGATAGGCGCCTTAAACTGACGATGCCTGAACCGGAGAACTTTAAATGATTCAACGTGTGCAAATTTTCGTTGAGAAATTTCGCTAGCCGAATGGGCGCTCAAAATTACACCAGCATATACCAAGAGTGTGAAATATGTCAGAACATTGGAAAAGGCTTCCCTACTGGATGCAGCGCCGGCCACCTGGCTGACGTGACAATCACGTGACGTCATCACGTCAAGTATATCACATCTCTCAAAACGCAACAAGACACCAACATCACAGCCACGCGCGGCCCGCGCCCGAGCCCGCGCACCCCACCGTGCTCACCAGTGCTGACGAAGATGGGCAGGGCCACCGACTTGTCCAGCTTGAGGTGCAGGCAGCGGACGTTCTTCAGGCCGCCGGGGAACTTCTGTTTCAGCGTCTCCACCGCGGCCATCACGTTCTGGAAGAGCTGCTCCTCCGTCTGGCCGCAGCGGCCCACCTGCCGGTGGTCGGCGGCCGCCGCCCGGTCAGAGCGGTGCTGCGCGTGGCTCCTGACGCGCTCGACGGGTGGCTGAGGCGTGCTCTTCGCGCAAGGTTCGGCTGGTACAGGCCAGTTTACAAATAGGCCGAAAGCGAATTGGGGACAATGATGACTAACTTACGAGATGTGATATGCAAACTGAATATCAAAATTGTGGTCGGCCGATGCCGCTCTACCTCCCTTCAATCCGGCAAAGGTGAAAGAACGGGACAAAAAAGACGTCACGTAAGAGGTGTGCTAGATCAGGAAAGCAACACAGACTGCAGCACGTACGCCCAGTTGCCGCTCAGCCCACCCCACCCGCCCCCTCCTTCCCTGTGTCCCGTCGGGCGCGTCAGCCACCACAGCGGCATCGAGCGGCGCCGCCGCCCGGCGGGGTCACCGGGGCGAGCGGGCGAGCCTGGCAACCGGGCGTGCCGGACCGGCTCCTTTGAAGTCAATGCTGTCCATGGCTCACCATCATGGCGCTAACGCTCAGCTCACACGACACGTCCAGGAACACGTCCTACCCAGCCCCCTCTTCCAATTCGTGCACCAGTGCAGGCGACGCCGGGAGGGGCCGCCGCGCCGCGTCCGTCGCTTCGCCCGTTTACCGCTCCGACAACTCGGCCCCACGGCCAACGTTTCAGCGGGCGCGAGACACGAGCGGTAGTGAAGCGTCCACTCGCTCGGCCGCCACCGACGCGCCGCTCGCCGAAGCTTGCCACCCGCGGCCGAGCCACCCGGGGACGTCGGCCGAGGCGCCCGGGGTGGCGGAGTCGGCCCCAGGGGACGTGGGCGTCGGCGCACGGGGACGTGGGCGTCGGCCCCAGGGGGCGTGGGCGTCGGCGCACGGGGACGTCGGCGTCGGCCCCCGGGGACGTCGGCCGAGGCGCCCGGGGTGGCGGAGTCGGCCCCAGGGACGTGGGCGTCGGCGCACGGGGACGTCGGCGTCGGCCCCAGGGGGGCGTGGGCGTCGGACACGGGGACGTCGGCCGAGGCGCCCGGCGCGTCGGCGTCGGCGCCCGCGGGGTCGGCGAGTGTGGCACGTGGCAACACGGGAGACGATTCTTGTCATGGGGGTGCGGGTGGAATTCGCGCCTGGATTGCGTTGTCGGGTGTGGGGTGGGGCCTGTGGATCACGCGATACTGGCGCTGGGCGGCAACATGGCCGCTGGGCTCCGCACGAGGACGGCTGCCAGTCGTGCAGGTCCTCCACAGACGCAGCGCAGCGGAGGGCCGCCACCAGCTGTATGTTGGCTGAGTTGTGCTCTTGCTCGAAATTCTAGGCCATCTCCCCACACACACTGCTACATGATAATGCAAGCTTGGGTGTTTGGGCTCGTTCTCGGTGGTACTTCCAAGCACAGCCTGAAGCAACGTGACTTTTCGGCATAGCCCATGCATCATATCTAACAGCCTGCGCACCTAGTCACCCGGCGGATGACCGAGGGACTCAAGCACGTATGGGCCTGAAGCTGGAGGTGAGCGAATGGCGCTGCGACATCCGTAGCTACACGCTATTAACCTCTGAGAAAACTCATTTCAGTTCACCTAACGTAAACGAATAAGGCCGCGGTTTGGTTACAGGAATTGGAAAAATAGCAAAATTGCCGCAGGTTGGTGACGACTCACACCGCCAAGAATGGTCCACGGCCTAGACCAGCTCAGCCAATCGTTCATATAAAAAGTTATGCTTGTTTACATCGATCACCTCTCCGCCAAACGTTTACTTCCGGAATCTCGAGATGGTAGCGTTTTTGCTTTTTGCTACACACAGCCTGCGATTCATCAGCAAACTGTTATTTGGCGTTGGAAGCATATGTGCTAGAATCAGCTTCGCCCAGTGAGACCTACCAATCATGTGCTAACGTGCCTCTTAGGGAAGAGATGTTATACCAGAGCGCACGCGTCAGGCACTTTCAGAAAGAAAGTGGCCCGGCCCAACCCGTGCGCATCATCTGAGCCATCTATCCGCTGAGCCCCCCTTTAGTCTGATCCATCTGATCCGTCTGATCCAGATGATTCCGTCTGAGCCGCCTGACCCACTGAACCACCCCATCCGAAACCCTGACCCTCGACCCCTGAGCGCGGCGCTCACCTGCACGGCGCTGGAGTCGCCGCTGTTGTAAAGGTGCAGGTAGGTGGAGTTCAGGACGCTCACCTGCACGGCGCTGGAGTCGCCGCTGTTGTACAGGTGCAGGTAGGTGGAGTTCAGGACGCTCACCTGCACGGCGCTGGAGTCGCCGCTGTTGTACAGGTGCAGGTAGGTGGAGTTCAGGACGCTCACCTGCACGGCGCTGGAGTCGCCGCTGTTGTACAGGTGCAGGTAGGTGGAGTTCAGGACGCTCACCTGTACGGCGCTGGAGTCGCCGCTGTTGTACAGGTGCAGGTAGGTGGAGTTCAGGGCATTGTCGATCTCATCGGCCAGGTTCTTGGCGTCCATCTTCACCGTCACTGGCTGCCTGTGAACGCCGCTCGGTCACAATCACAGTGTGTGTGTCCAAAGTCAAGGTTTTTTTGTCGGAAAATGACAACTTGGATGATGTCGAGCGCCGATATCGAGATCTCATTTTCGAACTCATTTCGCAACTGCGAGTCCTTTCGTATTTTCCGCCTATCAGTAAATCTCGCATTAATGATGGATTGCGTTTTTACTGAATTTGGTCCCCTACGGGCCTCCGTGAAGACATTTCGGTCTCCATGGCACTTTCGGCTGATGAGATTTTGAAGCACTACATGTCTAGCGTCCGCGCATGGAAGCGTGCAATATCAACAGTGCGTAGCAGAGGCAATGCAGTAAATAAGCAGTAACTAAGGATCTCTGGCAAGGAAGCATAAGCTGCACGTGCAAACAGAACAAAATGGAGAATGCGACAAAATAATGGAAAGCTTAATGTTAAACTATTTAAGAGCTGAAATTTACATAAAACATCCACCTTGCAAATTTTAGTGCATTTAAGCAGAATCCTACAGGGCGTCTTTCTATCCCCAGCAATCCACGTGATATGCTGCGTTTTTTTTGTTGTTTCAAATGGTTGTTCATGACGGCGTGGGATGTTTAACACCATCAGCACTCCATGAACCGGGGCCGATCCCGTTAAAAAAGAGCGTTTTGTTTCACAAGCAGCTTC